ATCCATTACTAAAATTATAATGTATATGATTAAGTCTAAAACAGGTGTGTATGTACTTACAGTAATAAATAACTAGTTAGCATTCAGTCTGTAGATTTAGACCTGAGAGAAAGTCAGTTTACAATTTATTTGGTTACAATTATTCCCAAGAGGTTTGCAGTAGATACATGATTCCCTTTTTGAACTCAACATACGCCTTTCAAATTAAGGACAAGGCTTCAGATTATTTTATCATCTTCTTTGAGCTACGGATATGTCCAGCATTAGGACCAGATTTGTATTTACTTTAGTATGGCTTAATCACAGATGGAAATAAGAACCAGGTTATTTTCTGAGGCTTTTATATGCCTTTTTTTCTCTAGCTCTAAGTCATATTGATGTTAAACACTTATAGACATCTGCAATTTTTCCAATATCTTTTAACCTTTCTTAGGAAGATCATCATGTCTAGATCACCAAACAATCCATTAACTAGTCAAGCTACATATTCAACTCCACAAAAGCTTGAATTTTATGCTGTAATTCAGATGTCTTTTCTTCCCAGCAGACTTTCCTCTTGTAATGTGGACAATTTATTAATTGTAAAAGCTATGTACCAGGGATCATAGTGGAAAGCAATCTGGGCTATTTAAAAATTCTGTTAAGTCCTCCACATTTCTGAAAAGAGAATGAAGGGAAAAGTTTTGAGCAAAAGGTGGTTTTTTTCTCTTCTTTATTTTGTTCTTTTGTTTGTTTGTTTTGTTACTTTGATTCTGCAGCCAAAGCCTCACAGGCTTGGACAATTAGTTTGACCAAAACCCTTCCATGACATCCCAGAAGGCAACACATGCTGCAGAAGACTTTTTGCCTTTTACAAGGATATGACACATTCAAAAGTTCAATAACTTGTTGGGAATTTGACAGAAACCAGAAATTGCTGAAACAACCAAGCTATCAATAACAGGCACAGCAAGATTAGAGAATTTCTGAAGCCAAAGAAGTTGTGTTTCTCTGGGCTCTGATTTAGCCTATAGATAAACCATGGTTGTCACAGTTGGGCAGCAAAATGACAAGACCATCATTAACTACAGCCTTCTGCATGTCTTGCAAAAACAAGAAAAGTTCTGTTTGTATCAAATACTGCAGAGTAAAGCTGGTGTTGCATAGGCTCAGTCATAGACAAAAAATTTCCTATTTCAGGCCAACTCTCATAACAGCAGGACTATACAGACCCCAAAGAAATAATATGAAACATGAGGAAGTGTCATAGAAAGAGGACCATAGCATAGCACCCAGATAGTTGCAATAACCAAGAGGAAATATTATATTCTGTCCCTTAAGGTAGAAGAAAATACAACAATAATTTGTACAAGAGAAAGCTAATGTACTTCTTGTTCATAATTTGAAGCATTTAACATGGGTAAATCGATCCAAACCTTTTCCCAGGAGTGTTCTTTTGCTGGTAATAGCTAGTAATAAAATGTGCATAGTTACATTTTAGTCCAATCAGAATTAATAATTCCAGAGGAACAGGGGAGCAGCTCTTTTCATAATAGTATTGTGGATAATGAAAACCTGTCTCCCCCTCTTCCCTCTGTTCTTTTCACCAGCACTGCATCTATGTTTTCCATGCAAATATCTCGTAACTCTGGCAACTTTCATCTCTCAAGTCCATTAATTAGCAGTTAAAAAAGCCTTCTCTTTGGACACGTCTCTCATATTAATAGGAAGTATGCTTAAAGATATTATTTGTCCTGAAGCCAGAAGTAAAGCACAACAAATACTAAATTAAACGTGGTAAAAATCTGGACAAGGACAAGCTCCTCAACTTTTATGTCATAGTGGAACCTAGAGGAATATAAGGGATTTTTTTCCTCCTTAAAGAAATGTTAATTTAATCAGTCCTGATTTATTTCTTACTTTTCCAAATATCATAGTGTACAGTCACTTCATCTAATTCATACTGCAACTAATCCCTAAGTCTCACTTCCAATCCCCCAAAGCTCCTCTCCTTTATCTGTCTTCTCAACTATTTCTTGTAGGTGTGTCAGTGTATGCATACATCACTGAGAAAAACAGATTTGAAGTAACAGAAGAAAACTGTTCTGTTTCTTATGGCCTCATATAATGTTTCTTATACACATTTCTTAGATGCTTACATTAGTCTCTAATTAAACATTTTACACAAAAAAATTTTAAGCTACCTTATGCAATTGCTGAGGACTCAGTAGCAATTGCTGAGGCCTGCAATGATTCTTAATTCTGAATTCTTTATTCGATATCACTGCACAATTCTTAATTCATACAGGGCTTCTGGCTGATTGCTGCAAATAAAGGCCACCTTGTTTCTATATACTGTAGTCATCTGTTTTGCCTTTTAGTACAGTTAAGGATGCTTCCTGAATAATAAGTTGTAGCTTCTCAAAGACATTTGCATTGACACCAAAAGAGGTAACTGAGTGTTAGGGATTCATGCAAAAACAGAAATATAATTATATACCAAATCTATCTAGGTTTTCTTAATACATTAAAACTATGTGTGCCAAAGGTTAGCACAGTAATCTGTAAATAAAGAACAAATTTACTCATATGGAAAATAAAAATAAGATATGCCTACTCTAGTAAGACTATTTCTAATCTACACTTGTGTATGTGCATGAGTTTTGTGTAGCATTTTTTAAAAGAAATGTGACAGTTTTCAGAAACTTGGACCCATTTCCCATTAATTAATGAGATATAGTCTAGAAAATTGACAGTCCTTGCTTAAGTAAACAGATTTTTAATTTAAAATGCTATTTTAATTTTTTTCTATTGTAATCAGATTTTTCAAATTATTTAGGATTGAGATTTTTTTTAAATTGGGCAATGGGCATGCTGCAATTCTTGCACTTCAACAGCAGGAGCACTTTGCTACAGAATTCTATATCACAGAAAACAAAACCAATGTCAAATCAGCATTGCTATAAAGAATAAAAGTTTAATAAATGGTTTTTGTAGAAAATATGTGAGGAATTAGACTTAGTTGCATTAGTTGATTAAGAACTAGACTAAAATATGTGAGAAATTAGATTTAGTGCATTAGTTTAAAAATACAATACCTAAGCCATAATAATAAAAAGCTTTTTGTCTTTTATCCAGGAAGTTCTGATATCTTTTGGTACTGCTTCTGAATATATCATACATGTCTGAGGGGAGCAGTACTAGTAAGAGATCACATATTTACTAACATTGTAGATGAGGAAAAAGTCTGAATTACTGCTGAACTGAAAAATATTACTTTGACTTTCATTCTTCAAATATTAAATTCAGAAGTGCTGAGAACATGACCACCTTTTAGGATGTCTTTTTTGGTTTTGTCTGGGATAGAGTTAATATTCTTCATACTAGCTGGTACTGTGTTTTGGATTTAGGAGGAGAACAGTGTAGAAATCACACTGATGTTTTAGTTACTGCTAAGTCAAAGACATTTCAGCTCCTCAGCCAATTCCCCACCACTGGTGAGGAGGCTGGGTGTGCACAAGAATTTGGAAGGGCACACAGCTGGGACAGCTGACCCTCACTGGAAAATTCCATTATCCTATGTCATTGTGCTAAACAATAAAACTGGGAGGAGTTGGCCAAGGGATGTTAGCCTGGTGCTTGAGGACAGACTGGGGATTGGTCAGCAGAAAGTAAGCAATTGCACTGTGCATCACTTACTTTGAATACTTTATCATTATTATATTATTATTATATTAATATTATTATTAACAACATGATTATAATTATTGTTATTATTTTCTCTTTCTTTTCTGTCCTTTAAACAGTCTTTATCTCAGCCCACAAATGTTTACCTTTTTTTCCAAGTCTTTCACCCATCCCACCAGGGAGTGAGTGGCTGTGAGGTGTTCAGTTGCCTACCAAATTAAAGCACAACAGTACCTTACCTGAAACAGTATCTTTTCTCCTCTCAGGTGCATTTAACATCTTTTAGCTAATTATGGAAGAGCTTGAACAAAATTTTTCAAAAGTTTTGCAGGGCCTCATTGATGTTAGTATTGATAAGAGTTTCCCGTGGATATAAACTCTCCTTGAAAATCTTCTATTCCATTACTCTAAGACATTTACTTATCACAGAGGACACTTTCACATTAGCAGAACCCAAGGAGTCATCAAGCTGATCACTCTTTAAGAAGTTCTCTCTTGTAGGTTTCCTTCACCATCCAAATAGTAGATACCTTTAACTAACCAGTTAACATCATGCTTTGAATTATATATATAATAAATACCTTAATATACAGATGCCTTTCTGACCAGAGGTCAATCAGAACCTAAACTGGGTACAGTTACTGCCATTCTTAGCATAGTTTCTTTATCTTCCTAAGTTTCTTTTTAAATTCTGATATAATTCTCTCCATATAGATTTAATCCTTTGGAACAAAGAGGCACTGATTTCTGAATAAATCTATGTTAAAGCATATTTACAAAGGAAAAATTATAAGAAAAACTTCGCATATTCAGAGTTTCTCCTAGTCTTTAAATATCAAAGATATTTTGTTTAAAATATAAATCTGAAATGATTCAACATGTTGTTATTAGTTTTTATATTTCAGAAATGATTTGTGATACAGCAGGCAGTATTTCTCTTCTAGTGACTCCCTACAGAAGATTTTAGAGGAATATTTTGTTCAGCTGAAAGCTTTGATAATATTTCTCCTTTGTAACTGAATGAATGGACAAATCCACATGAGCAAACATACATTTAAAATTTAATTGCACAAATATTCACAGCAGAAGTTAGCTTTGAAATCTGATTCCTAATCTTAACTCAGAGAGAATTTCAAGTACTAGGAATAAGTAGTGTGCTTCACCTCTTACAACACTTTTACCAATAGAAACTCCTCATTGCTCAACTCAATTCTCACAGCAGATATTTTATGAACAAATTTAACTTTGAAGACAAGTGACTGTGAAGCATATTTCAGTACTTAGATGTCAGGTACAACACAAAGTGTCATCAGAAAATAATTCTTGTGGACACTGAGTTTGGCTCAGTTGGTTAGAGCATGGTGCTGAAAACACCAAGGTTGTTGGCTCAAGCCCTGGGTAGGCCCTTCACTCTTAATTGCATTATCTCCATTATCCTTACAACTCAGAATATCCCGTAATCTGGAAATACTGCCTTGCCAAGCAAAAGAAAGGTTGGTCCTGGAAGAATTCATTCTTTCATTCTAGAATAAAGTCACGGGGGAAGTCACAGAAATTCTTCCCATGTTTTCTATAAACATATTATCTATCAGTTCAGATCTTCTGCCATGGGCTCATGCATGGGTTCATGCATGTCACTTTATGTCTGCCAGAGTTCCCCAGGCTATGTTAACTGTCTTTTACGGTGAAGAGAATGTCCAAAAGCAAATTTTCACAGGAGAGCCTGTGTCTTCCATGTGTTCCATTTTCTTAGGATCAAAGTGTTACCACATTGCCTGCAGGTAGAGTTCAATATACACTAACATTTTACGACCACTGCGTCACACTCTGAGATTCTTTACCTTCCCCACTCCATTTAGCCCAACTAAATTGCTGGGAACTTGGGTCTGGATTAATTCAACCTCCAGCCCAGGCTCCCAGGAATGCTCTGCAGTCCATCCTAAGCCAGTTCTTGACCTGTTTCTATGAATGTTGAATATGAAATATGAATATGAATATAAAGTGAACGATTCAACACCAGATTTTATAGCACACTGGAATCAGCACAAACTCACTTGTCCCTTTGGAAACAAACATTACATATTTATCTCAGGCAGAAGTTTGGACCAGATATGTTTATCGTACAGGTTGATACAAAGCAGAAAGCATCAGAGAAGGTACTTTGCACTGAAAGACATACTCTCTACTCAATACTGCAGAGAGAAAAATTGCATTACCTCTTGAGCAAAGCTGCAAGGGGTCAGTGGTTGGTCAGTGAAGTATCTGAGGTGACATGTGCCATTGTAAGAGCTGAATAGCTGAGTACACAGCAGCATCACACTGGTGGGGCAAGGAAACTGAGGCTTGGGGAGCTGGCAGGGAAAGAGATGGAGCAGACTGTCAGAGTCCAGACAGGAGCTCAGGGGTTCCATTTTGAAGATGGTTCTGGTGACACATTTTGGGCTCTGTGAATCAGCATCTACAGATGAAATGTTCACCGGAACATTTCAAGCCAGCTGTGGTAATGGGATTTTCGTGGAGTCATTAATCATCATTATCACACAGCCCTGCAGCAGTGCTGTGGACAAATCCAAGTCTGTGATAGTGCCCTGAGGAAAAACAGCACTTATCTCCACAAGTTTACAGTTAGAGTAGATAATTCTGATTATGGATATAGGAAACAGACACAGAATGCAAGAGCAGATTAATAAGTACCAGAGGCACTGCCAGAGACTTTGTCAGGAAAGGTACAAACTAGCATAAGACAAGAGCAATGAAAACTCTTGAAATCAAGATGAGGTGCCAAAAAGATGAGTGCTGAGGGAGGGGTGCACAACACAGTACTGAAAAATCCATCAAAACTCCAAACCTGAGTGCCCCTGCAAGGACTTGATTTCAACAAAGCAAAGTGGGATGGGGGAAAAACTTTCTCCTCTCTAAACATCCACTTTTTAAAGCAATGTTCTGCAAGAGAAAACAATTAGGCTCTTAGATAAAATTTTAATATTTCTAACTGTAGTCATGAATTCTGTTATTTGCCTAATGATATTTTTATATCTTACAGCTACAGAAATAACCCACTTTTACATCATATCAATCCATATTTTACCTGGATTTATTGCAAGCATATAACACTAGGAGAAAAGGATACAATTTTCTCATGAATGCCTAGCAAATGTATGCAGATACTTATCTGATAGATCTCGTAAGGACTAATTATCTGAGGGGAGGCTGTTTGACTAAAAGGATCAAATATTCTTCCACAGACATGGCAATGGAACAGGGCAAAAAGTTGTGAACTAAATAATTCTGTCTCTAAGGTATCAATAAAAGCTAAGTAATTCCTCAGTTTAGTTGTGTAAGAAAATTTTGAGTTGGATACTGTATTAAAGTGCCAGCCACCAACTTAGAGAGGTGTTGAATCAGACCGTGGTTTGGTGCAGACAGATTACATAAACAAGAAAATGAGCTCTGCATCATTACTGTGCTTGATTAGCTCTTGTTGTTCAAACATCTTAAGATCTTTCTCTTGTCTTTCATGCAAAGGTCAGAGTTACTAAGCCTGAGGCAGAGCTAATGGAGAACAGAACTTTTCAGAAAACAGCAAGAAATTACTTATAGAATTATCTTAATCATGCTCTCCTGAACAAAGAAAGAGAAACTGATTAAATCAAAAGCAATTTCTAATATAGATCTGTATATCTTCCATGACATATTCAGAAATAACAAATGCAACTTGGAACATATCTTAAGGAAGTTTCTAGGAATAAATCAGTGTCTACTTAGACCAACTACGATTTTTACACTCCAGTATGCAACTGTATGCAGTAAAAAAACTGTATGCAGTAAGAGGTGCAAACAAAAATGTAATCCCTCGATCTTGCCTATATTCTCCCCAGAAGGGAAAACTTGCCTTCTACCCTCCATTCCAACTCTAGCATTATTACAAGCCTTGGGTTTGGTTTTTTTGCCAATTCCAGATTATCAATGAGACAGATACATGTGAATAAGGAATTAGACTTTTCTCCTTAACTTTTCACTTGGTGTTTTAAAAAATTGCAGAGATAAACCCCTCCCAGTTCTCAGCAGTAGCTGGGCCTCAAAACTGGGGATCACAAATGTCAGCTACTACAAACAGAATACTGTAACATCATAGACCAGGACTTGAAAAGTAAGAAAACAACTTTTGTCTAGGTTTCAACAGGAAAGTTCAGGGTGGAGTTCAGAATATATAGTATACTGTAGCTGGCTTAATAGTAATATTTAGGCTGTTAAATGCAATGTCTTACAAGGAAGAAATCTATCAAACTTCTGCAATACTTTCAGAGATTAAAAAAAGCAAGCACACAAAAACTAAATAACAGGATATTAGCGACAGAGGTTCTAAAAACCTAGGGGGAATGAGTATATCTAAAAAACCCCCATGTATTAAGTAACTTTCTCTGTCATCAAGTCATTCTATAATAATGTCTGTGATGTACTTGTGTCTTCTTTTTGTACATCTATTATCAGTCATTGCATATTGGAATCAACAAAAAATCTGGGCTTGTTTCTCAGGTCAGCTCTTATCTGATCAGCACAAAATATAGATAATGAATAAAACAAAATGCAATCACTAAAAGCTAAGAATGAATCAGAATCTACTCGCTGCATTCACCTACTCCTCAAGTAGAAGGGAATGTCAGGGCAGAATTAGAAATTAGAATATTTTAGCTATAACACCACGCAGTAGGAAAATGTCATAGAGCCTCAGAAGCATTCATAATAAAAAGAACTTTTTAATGGCAGTGAAAATCAGGACATCCTTCTGAGGTTTTAAACTGGTGTTTATATTCTTCCATCCTCAAACTAATTTACAGTGCTTACTTCTAAGAATAGACTAGGTTTTTTGCTTTTATTTAGTTTTTCCACAGGAAACAAACAGTTAATTGAATATTAATGACTAATCTGGATATGGTGCCTAGATATTTTGATAGTAACCTGAAGATATATTTAAATTCAGTTAAATTTCTCATATGAATAAACATTAGTCTAAACTATTAATTAATACATTCAAATTAATTCATAAATATATATGTAAGTTATAACTGAAATGGTTTCTAAACCCAGTTTTTAAATTGAGGTATATTCTAATACCTCACTTGGAGTTTTTTAAAGTAATCTAAGTGCAGAGAATCAAGCTTTAGGACTTTCCTTCTTTCATGTACAGTTGGGGAAAAAAATTGCCTTCCTGAGACCCTGCCCAAAATAGAAAATTTCCTATTTAGAAAACCATCCTGAAAGTGGAGTTTGTGGTACACTTGTCACCTGGGACCCCCATTTTGATTGCTACAGGTTCCCAGGAGTGTCTAGTGCCTCCACTTCCAGCTTCTCCCTTTCCAGCTGCCCCCCAGACAAGACAGTCGCCCTCCCAGAAGAGAGAAGGAGCAGACAAACAGCACTAAGTATAGAGACACCTTCCAATTTGTGGCTGTTGATCCTGAGTGATAACTAGTTCACAAGAATGACATGCATTCATTAACAGTAATATCATAATGATGATGACTACTTGGTAGTAATAATTATTTATTTTGGACACAAAAATTAATGTGAAAGGATAGGAATTTCAGGATCACTATTTTGGCAAATATTTTCAATCAAAACTAAGGGAAGATAATGTTAAAATTAAGACTTTTGACTTAGGCATTTCTGAGTAACAGTAGTAATAATAGTACATGACAATAATAACAATATTTTTACTGATAGGTATTTGATGTGAGGGCAGTTTTTGAAGAGTGAAATATCAAATTCTGAATCAAGCTTTATATCTGAGGACATCCTTTCCATCTAATTAACACTGTCCCATATTGTTTGGAGATGCTGAATAGACTTTTGTTTTGCTTTCCTTAGTAAAAACAGTTCATGTAACAAGAAAAACTAAGTCTCTTTCCCCCACATTCCATTAGTATCAAAAATGGAATCATTTACACAGTCCTGTCTATGACAATAACATATAGTGCCTGTCAATATGCACCATTTGATACAAGACCTACCACTATGTATCATTTCTACACCTTAAAATCCTTTTGAAAAATTTAATGGAAATTATTATTGAAAGACAGCTTGACTTAATAGAAAAATAAAATAATAATAAAAAAGAATTTTCTTCTCAGTTGAAAAAAAAAAGGAAATAAAATGAATAATCTGCAATACCAGCATTTCTCCTGACAGCTTTGACTCAAGATGACATCTTTTAAACAACACCTTTTCTGGCAGAATCAGAAAGTTTGTATTTTGTTTCTTCTCCAATAGAACAAAGTATTTGAAGTGTCATGTCTCCCAGTGTATTCTTGGACGACTTTAAAATATCTATCACTAAAGGATAAACATGCAAAGTGATCATTTCACAAGTTCTCAGAATAGTATTATTCTTTGCACAGATCTCTCTT